GTTGTTCACCGTGTGTGGGGGGGCGCGGGGGGGGGGGGGGAGCCCTTAATATCCATATAACATATAAAAATCATGTCTAGGGGAAAGCTCACTATTTTGATACATAGATATTTTAATTTGATAAAGTCACGTCGCTAACGAATGAGTTTGCTCATATACCTGCAATAAAATACTTTTCTAGTGTATTTTATCTCCCAAAAAAAGTTCACTCATTAATAATTAATCAACTATTTCAAGCAAATTTTTGCACTTTATAATGAACAATACTTATTTTTTCCTTGGTTCCACTGTTCTACTAAAATTAATTTTGATAAGATTTCATAAAAATCTATGAATTTAACAATATGAATTTTAGCAAGAAGTTCTAATTCATATGTGACATATGTCAAAGAGATGTGTACTTTTTTATGGTTATTTTTGTATTAGTATAAGTTTTTCAACGATTATTTATATCGAACAATTTTTGTAAATCTCTTCTATTGCTAGAAGGAATTTACTCTACATTTCCTATTTTTCAATGACTATAATTCAACTTACAGAAGTGTTGAACAATGATTGATAATGTGAAGATCAACACGAGACAGAAGACACTAAAAAAAAAAAACATGAACTGATTGATCTATAACTGAGATAACATCTGTAACAGTTCAAATAATGATTATTATTATATTAGTTCCTCGAACTGTCTGCCTATACAATATTCTAGTGCTAAGTTTTTCTGAATAATTATTCATTTAATTTTAAAATTTATAGTAAATATATGAGTCATTTCAAGTAAAACGATCTTTCATTTGACTTAAATTCTTAACAAAAATTAGTTTCCTGAATCTCGAACTATATAAGAAAAAAAAAGAATGATTTTCTAGAAATCCGGAAATTCAAATTTTTGTCTTAAAAATTCTGAAGAAGTATTTCGTGTAACTTAACAAATGATTTTGTTTATATGTTCATCGGAGATCATGAGTTTGAAATGAACATCTTTATTGTTTTTTTTTTGCTTTATTATATTATTCAATCTTATAAGAATATTAAAAAAAATCAGTATTTCAATTTTACAATAGAATTTCTAAATCGATCTTTTTGTCAAATCATGTCAATCAACTTTATACTTTGAGCCGGATAAAAAAAGAACGCATATATCTATATAACCAAAGTATATAATATCCATACATACATCCGTTATAGACACTCTGTCTATTATTTTTGTTTTGTCTATCGACATTTCCCTATAATGCCATTGCTAATAAGCCAAAAAACAACAACAATAGCATTCTGTAATGTTATTTTATTTTTAGACAATTCAACATAAATATCAAATTGACACAATAAATTCCTATTTGATTAAACCAGTTCAACGTATAACTAAATATGAATTATTACTTCAACGTTTAATGTCATGTTGTGAAGAATCCAAAGGTGAAGTTAAAGAAGGTTATGATCTTATGTGTAGTGTACCAAAAAAAGCAAATGATGCTATGCATCTTAGTTATCTTGAAGAACTTGAAGTTTGTATCTTAAATTATTTTATTTTCTTATTTTTTTTTTCATTTTATTTTAATATTTAGACTGGTTTAACAAAAGAAGCATTAGGTGATGTACTTCTTCAAAATACATTTCAAATATGGGATTCAAAACAAATAATAAAAAAAGGAAAAGAACGACATGTTTTTCTATTTGAAACAAGTATTGTTATTGCTAAAATTCTTAAACCAGTTACACGTGGAGCTGTTCGATATATTTATAAATATAAATTAATGGTTTGTTTAAATTTATTTTCATATAATAAATTAAAAACATTTTATTATTTTAATTATATTAGACTGCTGAAATCTTTGATGTTAAAGAACATTTAGAAGCAGGTGAACCATGTAAATTTGCATTATATACAGGTCGTCCTATGTCATCCCATACAGCTGATCTTCGAGTAACACTTAAAGTAAAAAATTAATTAGATCAAAAAAAAAATACAATATGAATTTAAATTAATTATTATAGGCAAATGATCTAAGTACAAAACAACAATGGGTTATTCGTATACGAGAACTCATTCAAGAGAATGATCTTTATCATGATTTATCAATGCATGAAACTAATACTAAACAAACATCGATACAAAATAAAATTTCACAGCTTATTAATAATAACCAGTCAGATAGGTACGAAATCATGCAAATATAATCTTTTTGTTTTTTCGATGAATTTTATTGATTAATATTTGAGATAAGTATTTTAGTTGAAGAATATAATTTATTAATCTTTTGCTTTATTATTTCCTTATATAAACAATAGAAATGAAAAATATATAATAAATAGTCAATCAAATTCTAGAAGATTTTAGTAATAAGAACTCGAATTGCAAGAACAGTTTTTTTTTTGTAAACAGATTAATAATGAATTTTGATGATCAAAGTTATTGGCAATATTCTTAGACAATAACTGTAGTTTAATATATATCTAAAAGGCGACCGAAAATAATGGTCACTAGTGCAGATCATTGAGAAAAATTCGACGATCTTTATTTTGATGATCTTTCTTTTCGATAATGTTTACTTCGGTGATGAGATATACGATCTGTTTTTTTTGTTGTTGTTGTACTCAGATCGTATTATATTCACAGGCACATATATGACATATTTCTTCATATATACGATTCAATGCAAAAGGACATATAATCGAAGGACATCATTGATTTTCTTGTTGATTGATTCATAGAAAATATCTTCTAATATTCTTTTCTTTTTGTTTTAGACGATCACAAGAAATAGCTGATAATGTATCCGATGAATTTGAACATATAAGTCGTGGTGGATCATTATCAAGTATGACAACTGGTTCAATTTCAAGTAGTGGTCAATATCATCAAATTCAACAGGTACAGAAATTATTAAAACTAGAAAAAAAAAAGAAAAGAACGCAATCCTATTGAATCATTCATTATTCATATGAATATAAATATCTTCAGCATATGTTCTATCAATTGCTATAGACTATATTGTTTTCTTTTTCTTTTTCTACCATCTTCCCAATTATGTTCTTTTAGTAATTGCATGTGTTATGCGACGAGTCTTAGATAGAACGGCTATCTGTCAACAATATAACCTTGACAAAGCAATGTTCTTTCTTTTGTACCAATATACATACTCTTGTTGACTGTAAGATAAACATCTAATCTCAATAATGTGCACATATGGAGATGAAAAACTTGGATTGTATGAATAGACTATTGATTATTGAGTAAACAAACTGTTGCATTTAAAATTTAATATATATATATATAATATGCTTCTTTTTTTTTCAAATAGTAAACAACTATTTCATCAATATAGCCTTAGGTGCCGAATGATACTAAAGTGATATGCCGTTTTTTTATAGTATTGTATACTTATATTAAATGTAATGATAACTGATAACAAAAAAATAGAATCACTAAAAGATGTCTTAGGCTAGATAATAAGTAAACATATGATTCTTTTCTTTGTGTCTGGTATGTTTTTATTTTTATTTTTATTTTATTATTGTTGAATCGATGACAGTTTCTTTTTTTTATTTTTGTCTCCTATCGCACATTCACGGCTAATAAAAAAACAGATATAACAAGAAGGGAATGCGAGAATATAAAAAAAAAAAAAAAAGATCTACAATCCTTCTAACGATTGGTATGGTAGCTAAGTTTATCTATCATTCATGGATATATGCCTACATGTTGATTTTTCTCTCTCTCTCTCTCTCTCTCTCTCTCTCTTGTGTCTCATATATATATATATCATCTATTAAGTGAATATAATGGTGGAAAAAAGAAAAACGAGAGAAATATAGACCACATATACTATCAATGAAGACAGAAACAACATTAGAGAAGAGATTCTTTTTTTTCTATTATCAAATGGTACAAAGAAAAAAAAAGAACTCTGTTTCTTTATAATGGATTTTTTTGTATATGGCATATTTCTAACAAAGAAAAACGATCAGTTTCAATGAATGAGCGGTGAGAAGAAACGACATCGATGGAAATATAGTCCAGTATTAATTGAAGAAAATATAACAATCGATTCGAAATCTATAACAACAACAACAAGAACTGAAGAAGAAAAACATACGGAAAATACTATACGTAAATGGTATAATAATAATGATGGTGATAGTGATGATGATGATGATGATGGAATTAATCAAAATCAACCTCAACAAACAATATCAGAAAAAATTGAACGAGTTTTACGTAAAATAAATGCATGGACAAATGAAAAAACAGCGGCGTCAACAGATACTAATGATAATAATATACAACGAGAACCATTACAAGATACATCTTTCAACAAAACAAGTCTATCAACTTATGATTATATTCGTCAGGAACAAGAATGTAAACCTCGTTCGAAAAAGCCAACATCAAATACATTATTTAATTCTTTACGACAACGATGTTCTTCATCAACATTTGTTGATCCAAATACAATTCAAACTCAACATGTATCAGTTCATAGACCCCATTCAATGATATTTACTGATGAACCCATATCATCTATGACAACTACATCATCTATTTTAAATAATAATAATAATAATTATTTTTATGACGACTTAGATAGAAAGGTGAGAAACAAAGATTTCCAAGGTCACAGTCTAATTTTCCATTATCATTTGCTCTATAAACAATCGATTATATATAGTTAATACATATATAATATATATATATATATAGAATGTTTATATAGCTAAAAGAAAATTTAATCTAATAAATGAACATGATTGATTTGAATTATCGAGAAAAAAACAAAGAATTATTTACATAAGCATAGCTCCCCTTCTCCCCCGCTTCTTTTTTCTTTTTTTTACTTCGCATCGATGAAAAACTTTATCTTTTGTCAGAAAATTGTGTCGGCAAATTTTTCACGAAGCATCTCTTATTCTCTGCCACTGATATTACTAGTTTCAGGCCATGCATTTAAATCGAAATAATCTACTATGAAAATCTTTAATAATAATAAATCTATAACAATAGAGAAAAATCTCGTACAAAGTATAGAAATAAGATTAGATGTTATTCTTTTTAATTTTTCATCAATCATGTTCATTATTCCATGTATGACAATTTCCGTTTTTTCTTTTCTATGCCTGAAAGAAAAAAAGAAAAATCTTATCTTCAATTTTTTTTTCTTTTTTCTTTTCCTATGAAATGAATAGAAAAAAATGCCCGATACCAAAGTTCAGTTTTCCTCATTTCGTCATAAAAAATCATCTGGTAAACATCCGGTTTTGATTAATTTACTTGATAATAACAAACCTCAACGTCGATCTTTATTTTCTCCATATACCAATTTAGCACCTTTATCATCAATGTATGGTTCGGATTTTTTCTATCCATCAACAACCGAAGAAGAAAAAGAACAACAACAACAGCAACATGAATACGATAATTTAACCTTTATACAAAATTCATCTCATCATAATTATGATCCATTTCCAATTCTAGTTGATTGTCAACATTGTAATCGAACTATTGATCGATCATCTTTTCGTGACACATCATGTCAAGTACCATCAGATGATGATGATGATGAAAAGAATGTCTATCAAGATGTTCAAATTGAACGACATAAAACAAAACGATCATCACCATTGTATATATCACCAACATCAACACCACCACTATGTCAACCACCAATGGCAATTAATTTATTATCACCATATCATTTTCGACGAAAACGTTCATTATCATCATATTTTGGTTTACATAATCGTTCTAAATCAGCTCCGTCAGCTTCTTCTTCAACAGTATCATCAAATTCAAGTCGTATAAAACATCTTTCTGAGAAAAAAAATCATAAAAAATTACAACCAACACTTTCCCCTTTACAGACGGTTACAACTGTACCGTCTTTACTACCTGAATCTGCTCCTGTTTCATCAACACCATCGACTACAGCCCTTCTTCGTTCTATAAAAACATCAATATATGCTATGAAAAAGCGTCTCAAAGATATTCGTCGTTTGTCCGAGGTGGGTATGTGTTGTTAATGATGATGACGACAAAAGCAAATATATATATATATGTGTGGATAAGCGCAAGAGAGAGAGAGAGAGAAGCATATAGAAAAAAAAAAAAAGAAAAAAACAACATCTGTTGCCTGCCTGGTTTGCCTGTGCATATACTCGTATCATCATCAAGCGATTCGACGTCGTGGAGAAAGGAAAATCCGTGCACGCACAGACGTACACAACCTTTTTCTCTACCGAAAATGTTTCATTACCTGCGCACCCATCATCACAGGAAGGTAGAGCACATATTTTAATATCTAATATGTCTACTTGTATTTATGTGTAATGGTTTAATGATTATATGTATATTTATATATATATATATATGTAGACGAAAATAAGCAGATCTTTGTTTTTCTTTTTATATAAATATAATGTGTTTTGTGTGCTCAGTGCATCACATTAGAATAAGCAGTAGTGTATGAAAAGATTAAATAGACAAGTCTCGTCAGTCATTATTATATCATCGGTATGTGTACGTGGGAACATACCATACAGTTATTTATTGTTGACTAAAAGAAATCAAAGCAAAAATAAGAAAACTAAGGCAATCGGTAAACATAATCTTCATTTTTAGTAAAACTTATTTTTCTTCGGAAGCCCATTGAAATAAGTGATGCGTATATAATTTTGATTATTTTTTGTTCACGGAAATACTAATGGAAAAAAATGCATATGAATAAAAGATTTTTTTTTTCTACTTATTACACATACTTAAAAAAATACGAGAAATACTTATTGTGTTTTTTTTTGCTCATCTAAATAGAACCTTGGAGAAGATTATATTTTGAAAAAATAACAAAAAAAGAAAAGATTTAGTACAAAACAATTAAAATAATATATATATATATATATAATATCTTTCATTTATTATTCCGTATTTTTATAATGTCACTAACAGGTTGATTTTATCGATATGTTCTATTTATTCATTTCCAAAAGGTGACATAAAACCTTTGGGATTGTCTATATGTTATTGTTTTAACATATATATATATATAGAAAATATGTTTTAGGAAAATCAACATACATTGCAATGTTTCATATAGGAAGTATTGACAGATGATTAATTAAAGATGACAATATATTCGTTAGATGCTTAGAGAATATTTCCGGTTGACAAGTTACAAAGTTTTTTATTTTTTGTTTTTTTTTGTTATGTTTTTTAAATGATATAACTATTATATATATATATATGCAACGATTATCCCCTGTGAAGAGAAAAAAAAAAGAATAAGATAGGAAGGACTGACTGCTGTTGTTTATTCAAGTAAACGATCTTTGGTATAATTACTATTGCTGCTGATGCCACAACAACCTTTTCTTTTCATCTTCTTTTATATTTTTGGATATGCATATGGCTAATATAACCCCTTAGAAAACAAAAAGTACAAGTCAAATAAAAGAACAAAAAACAAATCTCTCAGCTAATTCACGTCTTTTTGAATGGAAACTAAATATATCATTAGTTGAATTTAGGTTTTTATTTTGTAACTCGCTTCAGCCATCAGATTGATTGGCAGTGTTTGCGTGTGTTTGTGCACGCATGCACACTTTTTTTTTCTTCTTTTCGATTGAATTAACTATGCATGCATGTTTGGCGTGTATGTCGTGTTGTGCAGTGTCTATAGCGTTGAAATTTGTCGACGTTGTCGTCTTCATCGGTGCTGTCGTCATCTCCCTGCCAAGGAAAACTTCTCAGTCTATGATTTTCCTGTCTTGAACAACGACAAAATAAGATTCCTGTGCTTCTACACCAATGTTTTTTTCTTTTTTTTTGCTTATGAGTCTCCATCAGGTTTTCCCTTTCCTCCCATCATTCATGAGAAAGTAATGAATGTAACCCTGTCTTTGTGCACGAGAGTAAGCTAGCAAGAAAGAACTATGACAATGGAGACTGTAAAAAAAGGAAAGAGACACAAAGGGAGAGAGAGAGAGAAACGAAGACGACAAAATGGAAGCTAACGAATGAAGACGAGCATAGATATATACAAAACCGACACATACATAACCAAAACAACTGAACCATATCTGATTCGAATAACAACAAGAATAATGTCAATAATAAAATGATTGATGTATAAAAGACTTCAAAAAGAAAAAGCAGAAATAAAAATAACAAGTTTTTTTTCTTTTCTTCTTCATTAGAATTTACATTAGGATAGAATGTTTCACTAAGTTTTAATATCAAAGACACTATTTATTTTTTATTTCCTTTTAATGATGAAAGAAAAAAAAAGTTCTAAGAATAAAGTAAAATAATCATTGTGATTAATAGAATGATGTCGTTGTTTTGATTATGAAAGTAGCAGTTATCGTTGTAGCAAACACGGGAAAAGGAAAAATGAAGGACGTCGACTACTACTACTAACACCAACATTACTGAGTCTCGTTCGTCGTCGACAACGACAACACACATATATAAAGACATGCGCTCGCACAAGAGACAAAGAGAGAGAGAGAGAAAAGGGAGAAGAGTATTATTTAATAAATAATCATCGATGCTGATTTCATTTTTTCTTCTCTACTACACAAATAACGTCTTGCACCGTACGTGACTATCAAGAATGGCGCACACTTGACTGGACGGAAAGACAGATAACACTTCAGTTTTGTCGCTATTCATTAAGTCATCTATACTCATTTTTTTGTCTCGACAAGATTGTCTTCATTCATCGTCTAATAAATCAAACCATTTTACAGTTAGTTGTTGTGTTTCCTGTATTATTTTTATGGAATTCTGGCGCAAAATGAAGTTGCGATGGGTAACTACCTAAAACTGATAAATGATAGTCAAGCTTCATGATTGATTGATTGGTTAGGTGATTGATTGATCATATAGGATCGCTCGAGATAAATAAATAAATACTTATATATATATATAAGAAGGATGATGAAGAAAGCGACACTTTCTTATGTGTATTTTCTTTTTTCATATTACTTCATGTATAACTAACGGTTCTCTATCATAGGATTCGAACGTGACAACTGTGTTAGACGATTATACTGCACGTAGTTCACAAGAATTAACTGTAAGTAAAGGACAACACGTTCGTGTCGTACAACGACAACCACCCAATGCACCTGATTGGTGTCTTATACGTGTATTGAACGATCATCATAATCCATCGAGTCCATCATCACTTGCTGCATCCTCAACAACAATCACAACTGGTTCAATTGATTTACCATCTCCATCATCTTCAAAATATATTGAAGGACTTGTACCAGCAGCTATTCTTAAATCAACTAAATCATCAGCATCAAATATTCATCCATTACCCCCATTAGCTCTTTCGACAAGTACTAATAAAACCGAACAAGGTAAGAAAATTTCTAATAAAAGTAATAATATAAATTTGTCCTTAAGTTATATTTTTGTTCTTATTGTTTTTTTTATTTATGCAGTTATCAGTAATTCTAATCTTGTAGAAATATTCTTCTTTATTATAATCAAATATATAGAATAGTTTTGTTCTAGAATTGGACTAGTATTCCCATATGAGAATAGAACATAAGAAAAAAAATTTTTTTTTTTATTCTTTTGCCAATAGAAGAAATATATATATATATATATATTATTTTTTCCTTATTCTTTTATCATTGCAAAAAAACAAAAAATATCAAAGAAATTTTATTTATTTAGATTCTATTTTAAATAATACAGACGATTCTCAATCAAGACAACAACAACAATCACCAGCTGTCCATTTTAGTAAACGTAAAGCTAGTTTTAGGTAATTTATTAACAAAAACAAATACTGAGTCACTTTCTTTTTTGTTTTTCTTTTCATATTAGGCGAATTCTTAAAAATCCTGTTCGACGTTTGAGCTTAAAAGATAATAGCAGTAGTAAAGATGTTAAAAATTCAACACCACGTGATTTAGTATCAGTATCAGCATCTATTATATCAACAGATAGTGGTGATGGTATATCGAATAATAATAAAAAACAATCCATATCATCGAATTCCACAACCTCATCAAAAATCAAAGTATATATCAAATAATAATAAAAAAGAAATTTTAGAATTTTTTTCTGTTTTCAAGGCATTCACATTTACAAACTCCGACGATTTGACGTTGTTTCCTGATGATACGGTATGGTATCTTTTGTTTCGATGAGGCAATTTCCGTTTTATATATGTTTTTTGATAAGCTTGCAATTATGTTTTGTCATGTTGAAAAAAAAAAGCAGAAGAAGCCTTGATAGTAGTGGAGAGAGAGAGATAGAGTGAGTGAGTGAGAAGAAGAAAAGTCAGAATATTATAATAGACTCATTCATTTTTCAAGACAACTATTTCTTAAAGATGTCAATCAAAAAAACTTGATGCCTATTTGACATTCATTTGTATGTAAAAAAAAAATTTATTTTAAAATCAAAAAATTTTAATTTCTTTGCATTTATTGATTTTTATCACTAGTAGCCATCGGAGTAATAATACTCCTTTTGCTTTTTCTTTTCTTATGCAATGCTTTGCCCGAGGCTGGCTTAAATCACATATATGTGAATATACTATGAGAACGAACAAAAATAGAATAACACAAGTAGATCGATGTGATGTATATATGTATATCTGTTACGTCGTCTTCATCGTGTTCTTTCGTATAAGTCTTACTAGTACTGGTCACTGTTCTCATTACATGAATAATCATATGTATAAATATATATCAATTTTTTTTTCCTTCTGTTCTTTCGTCTTACTCTCGAAATATTCAATTTCTTTCCTGTACAAAAAGAAAAAAGAACAAATTTCTCCTTATTCGAGTTCTGATTTTTTTTTTTTCTTTATATAAGGTATATGTTTTCGTTTTGACGTCGTCATCTTTCTGTCATTTGAATGATTATTTGCCTGTACTCGATAGGTTATTTAACTTGTGAGCATATAGACTAATTTAAATTAGACGAAAACGAATAACTAAGACGCATAAAAATATAAAGATGCCTCGTCTTCCATGGACAAAAAAATATAAATTATTACCATCATCAAAAAAATGGACTATTCGAAAAAATGTAAGTTTTTTTTTTTGACGTATTTTTCATGTTAACACTCAACAAGCACGCACATTGGTTGAAACAAATAAGAAAAAAGGAGAAGAAGCAGAAGAAGAAGAAGAAGAAAACTCGTTCTCGGAAAGTGATGATGCTCGCTTTCGGCACCCATCAAATGACATAAAAAAAAAAAAAGAAAAATTGGTGTCGCCATCAGACCCAAGAGAATGGAAGAGGAAGTAGAAGCGTAATTCGATGCTACTTGTGTCTAGGAGAAATAGCATGGTGATCAAAGACTATATATTCATATATGAGTTGAAGATGCTTGTCGTTCTTCTTCCTTAGAAGTACATATATATAGATAGATAGATAGATATTTTTTGTTTTTTTTTTATAATATTTATTTTCTTATCAATAAAAATATGTACTTTTATGTCCTTTTCGTTCGAATATTAGAATTCAGCAAGTAAATTAATGGATGGTAGTGCTGGTATGAATGGTATTTTTAAACTGACTGAATCATCTTCATCACCATCAAGTGTAACAACAATTATTTCTCCATCAACGACACTTGCTGGTGATGATTTAGAAAATGATGTTATAGAAGTACCACCACCAATGGACATTCAAGTTCAACCGAAATTATCTGCTGATACAAATGTCGATAAAGTCACTACTGACGAACCTTCATCACTCGTAAGTAATATGTGATCTTTTCACAAAATTTATATCCGTCGTTCTTTTTCATACGTCACATACTCATGTTTGGTAATGGATTTTTTTGCTCCCCTTCTTACTCAGATCAGGTGACGTCAAAAAAAAATTGAAGTTATATTAGTAGTAGTAGTAGGAGTAGTAACAGCAGCAGTCGTTCTTTACTGTTCTTTATCTTTCCTTTCGATTTCTTCGGCCTACATATATATATATATGTATACTGTAGTGTTAAGCGTAATGCAGGCGTTATCTCAACACATCCATTACATATTTAGACGAATAAGACAACAACAACAAGAGAGTGTTGGTAATAAGACTCATACAAAAGAAAAATCGAGATAGAAATATATAGACAAAAGAGAAAAAAAAAAGAACTTTTATGTCGACAATGTTCAAATAAATACACATTAAATATTCTGGTCAATAATATTTTCTTCGTTGTGTTTTTCCTTTGTCAAATGTGTATGTTCATTAATCATGGTCATAGTAAAATGTGTAGATAATAATGAGACAATTGCTTATATCAAACTAACTAACAAGAACAACAACACATTGTCGTTCAGTATACAAACGAGAATGTTCGGCTCTTTTTCTTCAATTCTCTCGTCATTTAATTGCATTGCTTGTTGCTACTAGTTCTCCTGTTGCTGATACTTCATCGGCCGGAACGCGCGCCTGCGCATACACACACGCACACATAGAAAAATGTGTCGGCAAGAACAGTAGAAAACGATGATGGGCGTCCGCATTTTTTCGCGCTCCCTCCCGAATAATCGTAATAATAATGTTAGGCGACCGAGCGAGGCCAAACGACAACGGGACTACAGTTGATAGTAGCTGTTTTTCTTTCTTTCTTTGTTTTTTCCTTCTCTTTTCGCATTTTTTTTTCTTTCATATATCCTCCTGTTTCTCAGTTCTTCTTTTTTTTGTGCCACAGTGCTACGTTATTGCTTTGTTGGTGAATGAAAAAAAAAAGATTGTCTTGTGTTTACTATCGACGACAATGACGACGTTCTAATATCATCTTCTCTGACATTTTCGTTTAATGGAAAATCAACGACAACGATTGTCTTATTAGCGACAGCATTATTACAAATATATACGACGTGCACATTTTTTGAGTTTTGAGCATTTTTTTTACTATTAACATAGTAAAAAAAGAACGAATCTTTTTCTCTCTCTCCCTCCCTTTGTCTTTTACATCCTATCAGTAATACTACACCTACTACTAACTTGAGAAAAGTCGACGGGCGTACATTTCCGCTCGGTAGGAGACAGCCCGACGACACACAACACAACTACAAAGAAAAAAAAAAAGAAAAATCTTAAGCAGAAAACAGTATTTGGAATAAAAGAGAGGGAGAGAAGAAAGAAGACACAAACAATCAAACGAACAAACAAACAATCAAACGAATACGGAGATCAATACAGTTGTAAGAAAATTAGTTAATACGATTGCACTGGAGTCGTCCAGAAGCAATAGTCCATATGTATTATCGCGTTTACGTAAAGTACGCGCACCACCATTAACATCTGTCAGTCCAATTGAAGATGATTCGGTCATTGCTCGACTTGTTCAGCATGTTGTAAGCTATAGAATTCTTTATTACTAAACGATAAAGAGAAAAAACAAAAACACGATTAATATTCTCATAAAATTGTCTTTTTATTTTTACTTTTTTTTATTATAGGCGCCTATCAGTATTGTTGCTGGACTTCCAGTTAGTGATTTTCATATCCCGGCTGTCTTGTCAGTGACGACACCGTCCGTCAATGATGGTTCGACAACGAGTAGTTCGATGCCATCGTCAAGTATTCTACAACAATATTCATCGACACCACCAACATCATCATCTCTATCATCATCTCCATCAACACTAACAACAACTAATAATAATCCTTTATTATTTTCATCAACATCAACTGTGATTCCAAATGATAATCCTAATGAGCAAACCGATGAAATATCTTTACAAGATATTGATACAAGTATTGATCAATCATTAACATTACATAGTTCAACAACAACAACAACAACAAATGATGAACATGTTGATGATCGAACAAAATATGGTGAAAAACGAAGGTAAAAAAAAAAACAAGAAAGAAACTAATGATTATAATTGAAATTTTTATTTTTAATTCATAGACATAATATTATTGAATTAATTGAAACAGAAAAAGAATACGTCAAAGATTTGGCATTGATTGTTGAAGTAAAAATATAATAATACTTATGTTTTTATTATTATTTATTTGTTTTTTTTAGGGTTATATGAATGTTCTTGAAAATGATAAAGAAATTAAAAAACCAACAGGTCTTGTTGGTCTTGAACGCGTTGTTTTTGGTAATGTACAGAGAATATACGAATTTCATCGAGAGTAAGTTTAATAAACAAAAAAAAAAAAAAAACATGAAAAATTTTTTATTAATATTTATTATTCACAATCTCTCTCTCTTCTTTTTTTTTCAAGTACATTCTTACCACAACTTGAACAATGTATTGAAAATCCTGATATACTCGGTCGATTATTTACCGTATGAAGAATAAAACAAAAACAAAAAAGAAATTTCTTTTTTTTTTTTATTGCTTTGTTTTTCTTTTTTCTATTATAGACAAATCGATTTAGTCCTTATGTAAGATATTGTGAAAATAAACCACGTTCAGAATATATTGTTTCGGAATATCATGATTATTTTGAAGTAAGTTTTATTTTTATTTTTCTGATTAATTAAATAAAATTAGAAAAAAAGAAGAAGTAAACTCTATGCAATTATATATTCCTAGAAATATAATTAAAGATCATCCATTTGGAAAAGTTACATATATATATATATATTTAGTTATTGCAAAAATTTTCTTCTTCTTTTATTGTTGAACATAAACGTTTCCTTTTTCAATCGTCTTTATATTCAAAAAAAAAAAAAAAAAAAATATAAATGAATTCAACCGATAAATAATATGAGACAAACTGGAAATTCTATTATGAATAAAACATCACGTCTAGAGAGAAGAAACAGAAAAAACAGCATTCATGCTGTTCTCAACTAACCATTTCCGCTATAGATAGAAAATAATTGTAACAACAACAAATTTTACAATAATAACATTTTGAGCTAAAAATTTTCAAACAATAATTTGTTATTTATATTCGATCTTGATGAAAGTTGTTTTCAATAAGTCAAAATCTTTTGAATTATATTGAACGAAAAAAATTTTTTTCGTACATATTTATTATTGCAAATAGAATGTAAAAGTTAAAAGTTTTTATTAATAAATCGAAATTGCCGAACAGAAACTATCATATAAAAATTTGATTTATCTTCTTTTTGTTAGCAAAAAAAAAGCATTTTGCATAGAAAAGAGCTCTTGATAAAAATGCCTATAGCATCACTTGGATAAAAGCTACAACTTAGTTCTATATAACATTTTATAAAGAAGTGTTTACTCGATAAGACGATCGACTGCAACGAAAAGAGACTTATAAGAGGAAGCAAGAATATCCTTGCCTAGCGGCAAATGCAATAGCTCGATATCTCTTTTACAATTATGACTAAGTATAGCTTTAGACAGATGGTCGATTTTATGCAAAATTCTTGCACACAATTGCTTGACCTTTCCACACACACGCCAACAAACTATAAGAACAGCTGTATATCATAACTTACTCAACATGTTATCAGACGGCTGATCTATAACAAAAAGTTGCTAATAGCTTGTCCATAGTTCGTGGTATTGAGGTTTGCACACGTGTTGAATAACGTGCCTATTGAGTCATTACAACTATGAGATTTATAGGAGTTAACATTCCAAAGTTTCTTTATTACTCTCAAAAAAATAAATAAACATATTCGATTACTTTTTATCACAGAATTTAATAGTATGCGGGACTAAGTTTTGATATACATGATTGGTTTTATAAATTGTCTGTGTGTATAAGAAGCTCAAGAACTCTATGTCAAATCGGCTTTCTATTCACAGCTACAGCTAATACTACAACAGTCACAAGAAGTGTCACTATTGAGTAAAAAATACATCAACTTTAATCCTTTCTACCTGACATTTTGATGACAAATAGAGCTCAGGAAACTCTGATGCCAAGCAGCAATCCGAGGCTAATAGACTTTAATACAAAGGATTAACGATGTGAAAACGTTGGTTCTATCCTTAAGATCCAAAAAAGGCATTTTTTTGACATTTTTCTGATTTTTCACTATTTAATTGCGTTAATCTCCATTTTCTTATTAACAAATAAAGAATTTACAGATCAATATTGTGCCACAGATAACATACTTCAATTCACCGTAATCATGAAATTCCGTGGAAAAACTTAATTAGAGAGAGGCACCCACTAAGAAAAAGTACTTAGAATTAACCTGAGATATGCTCATCATCTAAAGAAAAACATCTATATTGATCTTTTAGTTTCTCTGCATGAAGACTGATCAAGTCCTTGTGATAAGAATTCAATATTTTGTATCCTTAATCAAAATTATGAGAGTAAAAGATTAATATTTAGGTAGTTTTTTTTTACGATTGCTCTAGCTGTAGAGACGACATCAAGTTAATGAATCTACTGTTAGACAAATAAATTCTTCTTTCTATTATTATAGGTTTATTTCACAATGAATTAGAAGTAAATTATAATCTAGAATAAAAAAAAAAAACGATCATTTTATCTCTGTAATCAATCATATTAAATTTCATCTATAGATTTAGTTTGATCATATAAAGAATCTTATTCATCACAAAACATTTTAATATCTATAAGATAATATAAGTCTAAAGTAATTTCCGGTAATTGTCTTTTTTTGCTTTCATAGAAAAACCTTTGCACTTTGTTTCCGACTTTTATATTTGTTTTCTTTTTTTTTCTGTTCTATTATTAATCATATATGATTGAATTTTCTTCAGGAAATTCGTAAAAAACTCGGTCAAAAATTACTTGTATCAGATTTATTAATAAAACCAGTACAACGAATAATGCGTTATCAATTATTACTTAAAGAAATTCTTAAATCAACCGATCGTATGGGTGATGAATCACGTGCTATACGTAGTGCTTTACAAGTTATGATTGAAGTACCACGTTTAGCTAATGATATGATGAATGTTGGTCGTATTAAAGATTTACCAACAAATGTACATCAATTAGGTGAACTTAAATTACAAGATATGTTATCTGTTAGTGAACCAATATCAAAAGAAACAAAAGATGTAAAAGAAATAGAAAAAAAATTAAAAGAACGACGAGTTTTTTTATTTCAACAAGCTATGGTTTTCTCAGAAGAATTACCAGCTAAAGATAAATATTCAAGTCCAAATTATATTTATAAATATGATTTAAAAGTAAATAGAATAATTATAGAAAATAATAATAATAATAATTTTTATTTTATTAAGATTAATAAATTACAACATAAAGAATTTAAACGTAATAAAGAATTATTTCAATTTATATTAGTCGAAGTTGATGCCGGTAATACACGTCGAGTTATATGTCAATGTAAAGATGATGAACAATATGAATTATGGGTTACAAATGTAGAGAAAGTGCTTCAACGTCAGATGGATCTTATCATAGGTATTGATTTTCATAAACAAAGAAAAAAAAAAAACATTCCTTTCTAAAATTTTTCTAAATGCATTCTTCAAAATCATCATCTCTAACTGAAATAGTCCTTCTTTCCATATGTTAAAAAACATTATGCATTGATTATTTTATCTTTTTGTATTTGTTAATAAACACAGCTGTCGTATCTAGACTTAAGATAATCGGTGTACTACTTTGAAGTTACAATGTACTCACGTGGGAACCACTCAAGGTGATACATTGCGTTTGAGATAAGACTTCAGTCATTACACGTAGGGTCTGTTGAGACTATAGCACAAATTTAGAAAGGATTATACTTCATGCACTGCTATTTTGCAGTTATGGTTGTTATACTCGATTTATTACCTTTGGCATAGGATTTATAAAAAAAAGAAACCGAATAAATAAATTTCGACATCAAAATTTGTCGATAGACAGCTTTTGAAATTATTCGAATCTTCTAAAAGGGTACTTCTAGTATCAACAGGTTCTACAATACGACTCGAGTCATTCCCTTGTTAACGAAACCGACTATGTAATATGTAGTGTCAGTGGCGGATCTAGAATTTTAGAAGGAAAGGGCGATTTTCGAAAGATGCGGCGGTTATAGGCAAAAATCACTTTTTGAGACTTATGCGAGGTAGTAAAGACCAGTTGTTCGTACGTTTTTGCTGAGAAAAAACAAAAAAAATCTTTGGAAGGGGGAGGCGATCGCCTGATCGCCACCCCCCTAAATCCGCCACTGTGTAGTGTCAACAAAAAATACCTTTGACATACTTGAAAACTTATTTCAACTGATTTTATAGAAAAAAAAAAGGTGATTTTCCAGCAACATAGAATACAAAAAACATTACTTCACGATAGTTTTGCTATTGTGTGACTGATAAGTTTTGATGATCAATGATTTAGAAGAAATAGACCGATTTCATGAGTTTTACGGTTACTAGACATAATATCATTGGATTTCTTTTTTATGAGAACAATTCAAGAAATTCGAATAATTAAAAACACTCTGTATTCTAAACAAAAATAATTGTTTTTTTTCTTTCTTAATTTCTTTTAGCTCTAACAAATCCAACAGCTGCTCTACAAAAAGAGTAAGTATTATATAAATCAATTAATTCGATTTTCATATTTTTCTATTCTAATTTATCTAATAGTCCTCGTTCTAAGTAAAACTAATATTCATATATATTTATATATATATATATATATACATTATACGCACACACATACACACAGATCAATGAGAGAGAAAAGAAAAAAAAACCATTTTCCGTAAGATAAACAACTAAATGGTCTCAGTGTGCATCTTTATTTTAATACATTATATTATCACTACCGTTTTCATCCATTCCCAAGCTTTTTTTTTTGATCTGTATGATTAGTCTTGTTTGCATGCTTTTATCTATTTCCAATCTCAACCTGCCTGGTCTTCTTCTGTTTTTTTTTTCTCTTTTCTAATCTTTGTCTATTTTGTTATGTATGTTACATGTAAATCATAGGTTATTGACATGGGAATTACCTGAATGGCGACAATCAGGTCGACGACATTTTACCACTAGTGCTCATACCTTTGTTTCATCGCATTCAAACATATGACACCTATAAAAAAAAAAAAAAACTAAAGCAAGAAAAACTTAAATTGCTCATGCGAGCTTGTGGTTGTTTTTTATATAAGCTTTTATGCGCTCTGCTCTGATTTCAATACTAAAAAAAAAACGAAATAATCTTTCGGAATGTTTTTACTAAATAAATTTTTTTTTTTATTCGATATTTTCTAGGCAAGATTCGTCCATGTCATTGTTTATACCAAATCTAATAACACCAACATCTCGAAATCAAATTAAAAAATCTATGTCTGATCGTTCTACTAAATCACCTGAATCATTATCAACATCACCTAAACTAGCTAATCCATTAATATCATCATCACGAACATTATCGAATTCTGATACATCATCATCATCATCAACACCAACAGCAGAAAATACAAATAAAAAATCATCATTTAATTTATTTGATTCGATTTTACAACGTTCAGTAACAAAACCATTAACAATAAATACTTCAACACATCATGATATAACACAACAAAAAAAATTACCAACACCATCATTATCATCATCAATATCAAATACACAATTACCTGAACAAGCTCGTTGTTTACATAGTTATAATGCAATAAAAGAAGATGAAATATGTGTTCATAAAGGTGAATATGTACAAATCGTTGCTGCTAATCAAGATAATCGATGGTTTGTTCATCGTGATGCTAATCGAACATCACCAGCAGCTGAAGGTTGGATACCAGGTTTTGTTCTTGGACTTAAAAATCCTAATTCAACTATACATCATAATTTATCTCCATCACCACCACCACCACCCACATCATCATCGTCTCAACAACAACCGACATCATCATTATCAGCTAATAGTCTTCATCGTTTAACAACAACAACATCGACAACTCATCATCCAACAATTACTTATGAATCAACTTTACCTCCTAAACCTCAAACGAGTACTTGCGACAAGGTATAAAAAAAAAATCTCTCTTATCTTTTTTTTTTTCTTTCTCTACGAGTGTGGTGTATGCAAGACGAGGTTACGAATCTCTGTTATAATTTTTTTTTATGCGAGCAGCAATCAAATATGCTATATCTTTCTTTATGTATTATATACTATATTTTGTTTGTATTTGTGTGTTTTTTCTTTCTTTCTATCTTCGTGTATTTTCTCAATTTGCAAAAAAATAAACTAATGTGTATGTGTATGTCATTGTGTGGTTTTGTTTTTTCTTCTTTCTTTCTTTCTTTCTTCTGCTCGCTCCGCGTACAATATAGCAGCTCACGCAAACATGTTGTTTTATTTCTTCTTTTTCTCATTTTTTTCTCTGTTATTTTTGTTCCGACAAAATATTAATGATGATCAATTAAAAATATGAGATTGAATGAAGATACATTTTGAAAAAGAAAAGATTTATATATACTATGAACTAAATGCATTTGATATAATAACAAAAACAATCTATTGGTAAAAATGACCTTGATTATTTCCAGGGAAAATGAAAAGTGATGATGTTTAAAAAGATATATATACATATATATATTTATCGTGTAATCGTCCGTGTATTTATCTTTCTGTTGTATGTTTCGATGTCGTTTCTTTGTTGTTGTTGTTGTGATAGTCTTTCTTCTAAATGTTACATATATATATGTTCATATATGTTTATAAATTTAATTATTATTCAATTCGTATATTTTATTTTTAGCGTCTTAGTGGTGTTCTACGATATTGTGGACCTGAATTAAATATATCTGTACATGAACGAAATATTTTTCTTGGTCAATCATTAATTCTTCAAGGTCATGTTATTGGTAATCCACGACCAGCTATTGTTTGGCAACATCCACATGGTCATACTTTAGTTGATGACGATACAACTATACATACGCATTATGGAGATGATGGAACAATTTATTTACAAGTATGCATCTAAAACATATATACGAGTGATTCTAGTGTCTATTGTACCGTTTGTCGTTCAAAACGGTTCTTCTTTATTTCTCAGTTCCTGTTTGGTCAAATTGATCAAAATTTATACTGAAGTATCTATTGTTCATGCTCTATCTGTGCTGTTAAAATCAGCTTTCTACCTATTATCGTTTACGAGCGGTGTTCAAAACAAAGTCGCTTTTTCCTGTTTTTCATGTGTTTTCGTGATGGTTCCTCATATGCTTCTTTTCTTTCTTCCTTTTTTCCAGCTAGAAATATAAAAAATAAATACTGTTTTCTTAGGTTTCTTATACTATTTGAGATGCTCTATCTATTCATAATTTTATTTTTATTTCAGTCATCCTCGTTTCATAGAAAATTGAATTTCTATCAGTGGTTCCAGATAACGTCGAAAATAGTGTCCCACCCCCTTTTGAATCTACTGTGAAGCCAATAGTCATTTTCAGTTAAGTCGTTTTGCATAAAAAGATTTATCAGCTCGGACACTATCGATTGCTGAAAACCACAATTTACTGACTTTTCCGTTTTTGAATAATTTACATTTTAGTGGCGTCCACTGGCGTGTGACCGATAATTTGTCCCACTCCCTTTTACCTATCTCCTGACCAAACGACAAATAGCTAAGAGCTGATTTTTTTACCATAAATGTCAATTGTTGGGCACAACTTATGTTGTAAATATCAAGACTCTAATTTATTTCTAGATGAAGTAATTTGAAAAATACAGTGAGATGTTCCATTCTATAGTTTGCACTACCCTCCTATCCGACTGAAAAATCTGAACAAATTTTCTCCGAAATTCATCATTTTTGTGCTTCTTCTGGATACGCCACTGGACAGAAAATGTATTGAAACCTATAAGATCATGTTAATTCTAGGTTGTCATCTATTTTCTACTTGAAAATTGTAAAAGATCCCTTAATGAGTTTTTACAAATCTTTTGATCTCCAAATCCGACGAAAGAAAAAAGTGGTAGTTTGCAAAACCATTTTTTTTTATAATTTGAAGTGTGTTCTATTCGCTGATAATACTTTTAAGTGCACTCATTCACTTTTTTTTTCGACCTTATTTTCAATAAAAACGGTACAATAGACAGTAGAATCACTCATATATAAGATGATTTATCAGTTTTATTTTAAAAAAAATGTTTCTTTAGATTCGTTGTGTATCTATGCAAGATGCCGGTATATATGAATGTATAGCTACAAGTCCTCAAGGTACTATTTCACAACAAATTCCTGTTCAAGTGAAAGGTAAGTGAACTCATATGTAAAAGAAGATCCGAGTCTTTCGCTCTGTATGCACATGAGCGTGCGAAGTATCAAACTTTTAGCTATTTATTATTTACTCTCAGAAAGAAAGTTAACTCGCAGTCCGATTAGTTGATTAGAATATCATGTTAACAAAATAGTTAATCGATAAACTACATTCGTCCAATCAACAGTAACATCAAAATAAAAACTGTAGATATATGTTTAAGCAATAGAATGGTGAATAAAATGATCTTCCTGCGGTTATCTGTAGCAGCCTACATTATGTTTTACATTTTAGTCCCATCGAGATATGTTTGAGTCTAATTTGAATCTTTTAGATTCAAACGACCATCATAAACTTGAACAAGTTCGTTGGTCACCAAGATATCGACCAAATGAGTATCGTGAAGTGAATGAAATAGCTCGGTAAGTTATTATTATTATTTTGTTCAAAGATTTTATTTTATTTTTTCTTTATAATAGAGGACGTCATTCAATTGTTCGTCAATGTATTCATATATCAACCGGTGATGTGTGTGCTGTAAAATTAATATCAAAAAAACTTATTTCACATGAACGTGCTTTACATGAATATGCTCTTGTTTCATCTATACGTCATGATTCAATTATTCGAGTATTTCATTTTATTGAAACAAATTCATTTTCAATAATTATTTCCGAATTGTAAGATGAAAACAGTTTGAGATTGTTTTATAATTCGAATATTTTTATTTAATAGAATATCCGGTGGACGTTTATTTGATTATCTTTGTTTACAATCAATAATAATTGAACATAACATAGCAAAATATATGCGACAATTATTAGATGGATTAAATTATTTACATAATTGTAAAATTGTTCATTTAGATATACAGGTAAATAGTTTGAAAAGCTTATTTTTAATATTAATTTTCTTGGTTTTTATTTATTTAGCCAGAAAATCTTCTTATTAATATTGAATATGATCAAATAAAACTATGTGATTTTGGTGATTCAATACGTTTATCAAATATGAAATATATTCATCGTATGAGTGGAAATATTGAATTTGCTGCACCAGAATTAATTAATGGAAATATTCCTGTTCATTATAAAACAGATATCTGGTAAAATAAAATTACAACAAAAAAAAACATTATTTTATTGTATTAAATATTAATTTTATTTTCAAAGGTCGTTCGGTGTCATTTTATATACATTATTATCTGGTCTTTCACCATTTCTTGATGAAACTGATGAACAAACATGTGCAAATATAATAAATATTGATTATAATTTTCCTGAAAGTCAATTTCCATATGCATTTCAATCAGCAAAAGAACTAATTCAAACGATTTTTGTTCGCGAACCAAGGTAAGATTTATATAGGATAGAAATTTACGAATCTCTGCTCCCGCAGATACCTTAACAGTTTCAGAGCTGTTATTTTTTTAATGAAATATTCAATCACTGACCTTATATTAATAAGATCTTGTTATAATATATGAACTACTTTGTAAAAATAATTTTTTTTTTTTTTATAAGTAATCGTCCATCAGCAAGTGAATGTTTAATGAATGAATGGTTTCATCATGCTGGTCAATATCAAATATCAACAACTAATTTAAATAATTTTATTGAACGAAGAAAAATTTTAAGTGAAAAATCTTAGTTAATTAATGAACAGTTTTTGCTACTGGAAATGAAATTTTTCTTTTGTTCAGTCTGATAATTTTTCTTTTGTTTTTTCTTTTTGTCTCATGTTTATCTAATATGTGTATGTTGTGTGCAATTATTCTTCTCTATTATTATTACTATTATTATTGTTGTTGAATGAACAAGTTTTCTTAATCTTGATTATATTCAATATTGTAGATAAATCATGTTGATTACTATTATTTTTCTTGTTATTTTTGTTAATTATGTTCAATCCCAAACAGAACTTATTTTACCACCATTACCTTATGAATATAATGCACTTGAACCAGTTCTTTCGGAACATTTAATGAGATTACATCATGATAAACATCATCAAGCATATACAACAAAAGCTAATGCTGCACTTAAATCCATCATAACTGATGAAACATCCAATGATCAATTAAAAGATTTGGCTAAACAACCAATTGAAGTTATTCTTATTCATCTTCAAGAGTTACCAGAAAAATATCGATTAACTTTAAGAAATAATGGTGGTGGTTATATCAATCATAAACTTTTCTTTTCTATGTTACGTAAACCAACAGCTACAGCTGCTGAAAATATACCAATAGGTCCATTGTTTGAAGCAATTGAAAGTAGTTTTGGTTCATTTGATAAATTCAAAGATATGTTTACTACTGCATCAATCAATCTTTTCGGTTCTGGTTGGGTTTGGCTCTTTGTTGATGCACAAACAAAACAACTTGCTATAAATTTTACTGTTAATCAAGATAATCCGTAAGGAAAATATGAAATTTTGTTTGTTATTGATTTATCAAGTAAAAATAATTTTTTTTTAGAATTATGTTCGACACAGGTCATGTTGTTCTTTTAGGTATTGACGTTTGGGAACATGGTTAGTATAGAAATAATAGAAGAATACATCTATAATAATGATATATTGTTTGTTTTTTTGGTTTTGTTTAGCTTATTATCCTGTTTATGAAAATCGTCGTAATGAATATGTGGATAACTTTTGGCGTATTATCAATTGGAATTTTGTGGAAGAACTTTATACTCAAGGCACTACTAAACGTCATGACCTTTAATTTTCTGATGTTGATTGTTGATTTATCATCTTCTTTTTTTTTTCTATTTATTTTTTTTCAACATGTTTTTAAAAAAAGCAACTTAAAATAAAATATAGGAGTTAGATGAAAGATGAACATTTTTCTTGCAGAATAATAATGAAACGACTTGGTATTGTTTGGTTTCGAAATGATTTACGATTACATGATAATGAAGTAGGTCGATTGCTTGAATGTCTATATCGATGAAAATTGTTGATTTCTTTATGTAGATACTTGTATGGGCTCATATAAATAATGATTATGTTATTCATATGTATTGTTTTGATTCACGTCAAGTAATAGAAAAAACATACAGATGTGATTTTGTTAAATGTGATAAATATCGATTGAAATTTTTAATTGAAACAGTTGAAAATCTCAATGCATCATTAGTTAATAAAGGAAGGTATGTATCATTCATATCGAAATTGTATATTGCGAACGATAGATCTCATTGTTATTTGTTAATTTTATTTTATATAGCCGTCTTTTGACCTATCGAGATATACCTGAGAATATTCTCAATCAATTCATTCGACAATTCAAAGACAAATTTGAAATATCGATTGGTTTTCATCAAGAAGTTACACAAGAAGAAATTGATGTTGAAAAAGCAGTGCGTCAATTAGCTCATGATAATAACGTACGTGTCAAAGAAATTTGGACATCAACATTATATCATCCTGATGATTTACCATATAATAATCCGAAAGCGTATGTTGTTTATACATTTCTCTTATTAGTATCGAATTCGATATTCTTTTCATCAGGTTTCCTGATGTATTTACACAATTTCGAGTAACACTCGAAAAACAAAGTATTCGAGTGCGATGTTTAATCAATATTCTTAATACATTTAAGCCATTACCAGATGATTGTGTTATAACATCTATACCAAGTTTAACAGATTTTGGATATTCAAGTACGATAGACTATTTACTTTTACTTGTTAAATATTTGTTTTTTTCGTTCTAGATGTGATTGTGCATCCTAATAGCGTATTTCAATTTGAAGGTGGTGAATCATCTGGACTTGCTCATCTACAAGGATATGTTTGGGAAAAAGATTTAGTTCCATCTTACAAACAAACACGAAATAGTTTGACTGGTTCAGAAAGTTCAACAAAATTTTCTCCATGGTCTGATAATATTTCTTTCCAATCATTAATATGTATTATTTATAACTTAAATCTTGTATTAGGCTATCAAATGGATCATTATCTCCTCGTAAAATCTTTTTTGAATTAAAAAGATATGAAAATGAACAAGGTATACCTGATGCTGGATATTGGATTATATTTGAATTTCTTTGGCGTGATTTTTTCAAATTTACTGCTATGAAATATGGTACACGTCTTTTTTATGGACGTGGCCTTAAATCAGATCCATATACGTGGAAACATGATTTACAACAATTTGAAGCATGGAGAAGTACGTTTTTTTTTTCGAATTCGATATGAAAAATTTTTCTAAGAATTATTCTAGAATCTATATTAAGAGTTTATTAAAGCCTTTTTTAAATGATGTACTAAATGAATTTATTTTCTTTTTTATAGCTGGCAATACAGGTGTTCCATTTGTTGATGCTAATATGCGTGAGATAATGGCTACTGGTTGGATGTCAAATAGAGGTAGGCAAAATGTTGCAAGTTATCTTACAAAAGATCTTGGCATCGATTGGCGGTAAGTTTTGATCATTATCTCATTGAAAATTTTAAAAAAATGCTTTCTTTTATATTTTTTAATATGTTAGATATGGAGCAGTATGGTTTGAATCGATTTTGGTAAGATTTTTATTATATTGCCTTTCAATATTATTTCTAATCAATTATTTTCTGTTTTTATTTAGATTGATCATGATGTTTGTTCAAACTATGGAAATTGGGTGTATGTAGCCGGTGTTGGAAATGATCCAAGAGAAAATCGACATTTTAATATGATTAAGCAAGCATTTGATTATGATTCGAATGTAAGATAAGTATTAATGATTTAGAAGAGATGAGACTTTATCGCTACAGGGCAAATTTGTACGTACATGGTGCCCTGAATTAGCTCGTTTACCAAATGAATATATTCAAACACCATGGTTAGCTCCATCACACGTTCTCAAAGATGCTGGCGTAGAACTTAATGTTAATTATCCGCGACCCATTATTATTGTATCACAATGGAATCAACAAGTAAATATTTTTTTTTTGTATAATTTCATTCTTAATGTGTTCCGTAGTCTCAAAATCGTCGAACATCATTGCAAAATCAACATCATACGCAGCAACGTGGCATAAATTTCTATTTTAAAAGTAATCAAAAATGACATTAAAAATCGATGATTATTTGTTAAATTTTATCTATTTAACTATTTATTTATTTATTGGTTTTGTTTTCGTTTCATTTTATCTTATTATTGTTTTGAATAACTGAAAGGGAATTAATAAGAAGTATTTCATATATATATTGTTCGAGATTAATTGATTGGCACAACTATAAACATATTGAACTTTGAAAATAAAGATTAGATCTGACGATTTGGAACTGGCATAAGTGCTATTAGACTAGAACATATCTCAAAAGTGGAGCAACTAGATTTGCTTATACATTATGAGTTATAGTTCAGAACTATAATACTGCATAGATTAATCCCATTTCTGTAAGCTATAGCTTCTTTTTCCAAAACAGAATCACTATGAGTTACGGTGAGTTGTTATCCGATATGAATATCGATCAAATTAATTCATCAACTAATTGACTGCGAAAATAGGAAGAGCCTAGATCGATAACAAGCCCATCACATACGTTTGAAACAAATAAACTAATAACTAATTGAAACCATTCTGTTTGAACCATGCTTTTTATAAAAGCAAATCGATTCAATATGATTAGGCTATCCCTAATTTTTAGAAGTTTTCTTAGGCTGATACTAAAGTTTGTTGAAGAGCATCCCAGAGTGATATCTATAATTTTTTAAGGGCTAACACAAGATGATACCCGTCATTATCAACGCCTATCTGAGGATGATGCTTGAAACTTTTCGAACCTACCAATGAATTCTCTTACCACTTTTTCAAGTCCATCGTACAACTCAAAAACGTTCGGGGTATGGAGATAGATGCAGGTGACGAAAAGACTCACGTTTTTATCGTTGTTTTTCCTAATATGCATAGTAAATTGTTTGCTATAAGCTGTGGCAGAACCATCGAAGGCAAGATAAGAAGTCAGAAAACTACATGAACCTGCTAACTCACAATTTAATCTAACATTCTTATCCGTACTCTGAATAGTTCTACCAAGATTTGAGATAAACAGTCTTAATTTACAAAATAAGTGAATAACATCTAACATGAAACGTTTTGAGTCTTGCTTCAATTGTGATAAATCGTTTCAGAAAAGGCCGAATACCTAGATTATCTCTATTATTTGATGATTGATAAAAGCAATTTACTATTTACATAATGCTATCTTAAGTGCGTAGTACCCTTGGTTTTCTTACAAAAATATATATATTTAATAAAATGATTTATTTTACTTGTTTGGGAGGGAAAATTTTTGAAAGCTTCCTCTTCGTTGAGAGGATTTTTTATTTTAGTGGCAGATTCTACATCTGTGCGAGTCATCACACTCTTATGTCCCTCACTTCCGCATCAACTTTCAAATTACACTCGCAATTAATTAAATTTATTGGAAAACAAAAAAAGTTTAAAACAGCGCCGTTTGACACTTAACTAACGGTCACAATTAATTAGATAGAAAATGAAAAGTGAACTCACTAACACAATTGTTAGACAAGGCTGCATCATTCATTACATAACAAAATTAGTATTCATTCTAAATTCATAAACTATGCCATGTAGTTAATACGTATCATTGTGGTTCTTTGTTTTGCTCTGAATTTTATTTATCACTAGTTGCTAATTATTTTTCACACCACCACGCCTTGGAAACTAAACTTCAATCACTAAATCTTCATCTTAAAATTCCTATATCTTTCCAATCCCTATTCCTTCCCCGCCACATCACGAACTCTCCAAAACAAAACGACATTCGAACTGCGAATCACAGTGTCTTTGAGTAGAACATCAATAATGCAACCAATATTGTCCTCGAAACAAATACATCTCATATCCCAGCAACCATTCTTCAATCGTTCCTAAAAAACCTTTAATATTAAACTGCACTTCCCAGTTCTAAGTTCACCCATTGATATCATATGCATTACTGATCGTACGAGACCCACTCACTCAACTTCTACCTAATTCCAGTGTTGCAGTACAACTCTATCGAAAACAAATCACCAAATAGACAGATATCTTCACCACTCAACATGCGAACCACATGAAACACAATCTACACAAGCGCTTTTTCACAAATAGACTCCCCACACTACCTCACTCTTCCAATCAAACAGAAAAGAAACAGCGCAAACCCACTTCCCCCATTACGTAATAAACCGTGACACAAATTCACTATTCATCTATCTCATATCCCCATCTGCACTTTTTCACACAGACACTCACCACACTAGATCTCTCTTTCAGTCAAATCGGAGACAAAGGAGCACAACATCTGGCTGATGCATTAACAAATAACACGGTGACCCTCATTCTCTCTTCATCTATCTCATATCCCCATCTGCACTTTTTCACACAGACACTCACCACACTATATCTC